TGTTGTAACAAAAACAATATCTTCTGTTTCCACTCTGGTTTTCTCATCTAATCCTGCAGATTAATTGAGATTATTTTCACAGATGAGAAGCTGAGAGAGTCCAGCTGGTTATCAGTCCTGAGCAGAGAGCCACACACACACAGTCTGTGTGTGTGTGTGTCTGTGTGTGTGTGTGGGTGATCGTCACACACACACACACACCTCACAGTTTTTTATTTGACCTTGAAATGATTTAGATTTTCCTCTGCGCTGATGTCACCCGGTGCATCCTGGTACTTTTTCCTCTGACTGGCAAACAAACTTAAAGAACAATACTGCCCCCTACTGGGCTGGTGTGAGCACATCGGTCTTACTGGTGTGTGAGGGAAGTGTGATCAAATGAAGTTGAAGTTAAAGTCCTCCGGTCTCTGATCTCTCTCTTTTCTTCCAACCCTCCGTCTCCGTCTCCGTCTCCGTCTCCGTCTCCGTCTCCTCCTCTGGCTCCAGCTCTCTGTCGGGCCGCATCGTTGGAGGGGTGTGGTGGTTCTTCACCCTCATCATCATCTCCTCCTACACTGCCAACCTGGCTGCCTTCCTGACGGTGGAGAGGATGGTGTCTCCTATAGAGAGCGCCGAGGACCTGGCCAAGCAGACGGAGATCGCGTACGGAACCCTGGACGCAGGCTCAACCAAAGAGTTCTTCAGGGTGAGAGGAAACTTTTTCAAGAAGGATTATTATTAATATTTAAACGTCTTTGACAAGAACACTGTGTTGTTCAGACACCCTGGGCTTTGGCACTGGAACATTTTTATATGTGGAAAAAGAACCAGCAGTGTTACAGTAGCTGAAGTGTGAAGAAGGAAAAGTTAGAGAGGAGTCACAAGTGGAATAAATACGGAATAAATACAGAATTATAATGGGATTAATATGGAATTAATACAGATTAATGTGGCTGGAATATGATTAAATACCACATGCATGTATTGATGCAGTGATTATACAATTTATCATTGTGTCATGTTGCTCATAACTCTGAATCATAGCAATTAATGTGAAGTATTAAATTAGCAAAGACTAATGACCTTAATGAATCTTCATTTTTTTTCCATGTCAACAATATTTGTATTATTATTATTATATTCAGACCAGTTTTCAACATGAAAAATTCCAGACAAAATGAAATGTAAGGACGAATGTTACATCAGACCTAAAGGTCATCAAGGTCAAAGCGACCTTGACCGTGAGGTTGGTCAGGTGAGAACCAGACCAGGACACCAGTCGTAACATACACCTGTTGATCATGTTTATATCAGGACAAATAGCACTTTTTAAAAGTGTGAGGTTTTGAGTGAGAGCCGTGATGAAAGGAGCTCCGTGGTTGGTTGGAACCCACGTCGTTCTTCAGTTCTGTCCTTTCAGCTGGTATATTTTTATCTGTGGAGTTAGGGGTCACTCTTTCTCAAGAGAATATTTTTGGCAAAGCCAGAATAATTGTAATAAATAGACGTGAAAAGTTCCTGAAGCACTGGAACTAATGTTTGTTGATGAACCAGATGGATTTACAGCCAAGGATTTTAAACATCTTACAAAATAAAATAAAACAATCTGCCAAACCAACAGGCGTTCATTTGAAATACTACTGACTCTCTCCCCCTCTCTCTCCCCCTCTGTCTCCCCCTCTGTCTCACTTCCACTTTGGTGGGTCAGAGGTCAAAGATTGCTGTGTTTGAGAAAATGTGGTCGTACATGAAGGCGGCGGACCCGTCTGTGTTTGTGAAAACCACCGACGAGGGCGTGATGAGGGTCAGGAAGTCCAAGGGCAAGTACGCCTACCTGCTGGAGTCCACCATGAACGAGTACATCGAGCAGAGGAAGCCCTGCGACACCATGAAGGTGGGCGGGAACCTGGACTCCAAAGGCTACGGCATCGCCACGCCCAAGGGCTCCCCCCTCAGGTGAGGTCCGGCCTCAGGCTGGAGCACGGAGGTCACCCGGCTCCTCCACTGGAGCTCCTGCATGGTCCACATCTCATCTCTCTTTATGTTTTTTCATCAACTCATGTGGATAACGATAACGATTAGAATAAGGTTTTCAAAGGTTTTCATTTAGAGAGATTTAATGATCTGGAATTATTTGTTGTGTTTTGTGGATTTTTTTTACTTTGAAGTGAAGGTTTTATCTTCACTTTTACTGGCAGTGGTTACTAGAGCTATCCTGACAATTCAGCATACCCATCAGAACAACATAAGTACGCCGCTGCAACAGCTGAAGAAGAAATGAATTAAAAATAAAATAAATTTGCCTTCCTGCATTAGCTCTTCACCCTTTAGGTGGCCTCGCCCCCCGCTTTGGGAACCACTGATACAGAGCGATGTGCAAGTGGCATTTAAAATAATCATATTAATCAGGTCTTAATTAGCAGCTGATTATTGTCACTGATTGTTGATTAATGTGTAATAAAAACACAACGTAACATAAATAACATCCTGGGAAGTTAAATCAAAAAGATTAGATTTAAATGATCACGATGAGATTTAAATGATCACGATGAGAAGTCAGCATCACTGGTCTGTTATGTTCTGTTCTGTTCTGTCCTGTTCTATCCTGTTCTGTTCTGTTCTGTTTTTTTTTCTTCGTTAGTTTTCATTCATCTCCACCTCCTCATGTCCATCATCAGTGAAGACCTTTGTTTGTCCATCAACATGTATGTATGAATTCATTCTCTTATATTTGAGAGGTGAGCATTGGCACAAGTGGGAGGACACACACACACACACACACACACACACACAGATGTGTGCACCTAATGTGGCCAATAAATTCACATCTTACACCAGAAGTAGATCGCCTGTGCCCCCCCCCCCCCCCCCCTGGTGCCGGTGCTCACACCTTTACGGTGAAGTCAGCAGATGTGAGTTCCTGTTTGAAGTTTGAAGCTGTGATGATGGATGTGGGGAATAAAACGGCCGGTGCTCTGGTGCTGCTGACGTCCAGGAGCAGCAGCTGTCGTCTCCCATTACATTAGCATCATAACCAAGAGGACCATTCAAATCTGAAAGTATGGGGGAGGGGAGGAGGTGTGGGGGGGTCAAGCTGGTGGCATCTGAAGCATTTAATCCACCTCTAATAGGCCTCATTCATCCTCATGAATGGAGCCATCTGAGGAGATTTCATTCCCTCAGCGTTCCAGCCGGGTCCACAGCCAAAGGTCATGACTGGGTGACACGAACCCTTTCCTGTGTTTGCTCAGAGGCTTCTTATAAATTTTTATACAAATTGGACTTGGTGCAGAGAGAGAGAGTAAGTGAGAGAGAGTGAGTGAGTGCTGCATTAGCACTGAGAGCAGTGATGACATGAATCTGCTCCAGGGTCGTGGAGGGATGAGAGATCAAACTTTAACTCCACTTTAATCCCTGTTAAATATCAACTATGTAAAAGTGATAATATTAAACTGGTCCTGGACCAGCACTTGGTCCTCTGACCAGCACTTGGTCCTGGACGACTGGGTTAATCAACACTAAACAACTTCTAAATAATCCCACCCTGGTGTTGACGACCTAGTCCTGCAAAAACAGTTCCTCCGTACGTCAGTGCACCAGACCAGTTGTTCAGACCAGTTGAAGTTCCTGGTCATGTCATGTTGATTACCATGTTGTTTTCTTCATTTCAGGTCCAACTGAAGTTTAGTTCGTGATTTAACCAAATCTTTTTCCAGCTCTTTCTTCTCCTGAACTGCTGACGACGTCGTAGTCTTTCCTTCATCTGTTCCGTCTTAATGTATCATGTGATTACAGGAAGTTCACACACACACACTCACCAGAGAGAGAGAGAGAGAGAGAGAGGGAGAAAAGGCTTTGGATGAGAGAGTTTGTCTGATTATTCTGGCACTGCATGAACTGTTTGTCTAAATTTTCTTTTCTATTTTTCAGTCAGAATGTTCTTTATACTGAAGCAGGAATTTAATATATTCGTTAATATAACGTTAGCTACAACAGTCCTGGTACAGACACCAGAGCTAACATTAGCTACAACAGTGCTGGTACAGACACCAGAGCTAACGTTAGCTACAACAGTCCTGGTACAGACACCAGAGCTAACGTTAGCTACAACAGTCCTGGTACAGACACCAGAGCTAACATTAGCTACAACAGTGCTGGTACAGACACCAGAGCTAACGTTAGCTACAACAGTCCTGGTACAGACACCAGAGCTAACGTTAGCTACAACAGTCCTGGTACAGACACCAGAGCTAACGTTAGCTACAACAGTCCTGGTACAGACACCAGAGCTAACGTTTACTCTCTCCCTCTCTCTCTCTCTCTCTATCAAAGCCACTGCTCCTGTGTTTTTCCTGTAGTTAGCGTTAGCAGTAGCGTGTGACCCAGTTCCTCGGTGTTGTCCTCGTCATCATCACCTCCTCCATTTTTCACCTGTGTTCTGTGGTTCTGAGTCTGTGCTAATGGCTGTCGTTCTATATTATCTTCAAGAAACCCAGTAAACTTGGCAGTGTTAAAACTGAACGAGCAGGGCCTCTTGGACAAATTGAAAAACAAGTGGTGGTACGACAAGGGAGAATGCGGCAGCGGGGGCGGGGACTCCAAGGTCAGAGCCAGTTTGATAAACCCTAAGAGTAACCCCACCGCCACCCGTGTGGCGGGCTGTGGGTTGATGGGTAACCGGCAGACCCAGATCAGGAACAATGAAGCAGTTCAACGTCAAACATGTTAATAATCTGGAGGTGTTTATTTTAATTGGTTGGCGTGAATCGCTGTTTCCCTGCAGTGCTATGAAAATTTAAATCCATAAATAATTCTCAAACGTTCCTTTTTATTATCAAATGATGCTCACGTTGCAGCAGCAGCGAAGCTGAGCCGCGTGTGCCGGTTACCCAGAGTGATGTAGTAATACACATCTACTGCCTTAGGGAAGAGCAGCGCGAGATGGAGTATTAATGCATATCACTTTGACCTTGGACAATCTGATGATGTGTGTGTGAGTGTGTGTGTGTGTGTTTGATGAGTTGGTTTTTTTTGTTGTTACCTGAGAGCATCTCAAGAATGTTGTTATTGTTGTTGTTGTTGTTGTTGTTAATTAATAACATAAGATAACATGGTATATTATGTTATTTATGTTATTTCCTTCTGCTCGGAAGAATCCCAGTAAACCTAGCCGTGTTGAAGCTCAGTGAGCAGGCCGTCTTAGACAAACTGAAAAACAAATGGTGGTACGATAAAGGGGAGTGTGGCAACAAGGACTCTGGACGAAAGGTCAGTCTCCAAGCCTAAAGCCGTCACCTCACAGCACCCCCTCACCCCACTCACCCCCCCCCCCCCCACCCCCCACC